ATTTTTTTTGTACACTATTTTCTTTTGTAAATACATTCTCATATTCTAATGGTTGTACAACAACATATGAGTTTTATTATTATATCAGCACTAGCTTGCGATTAGATTTCCTTCTCTTATTCATCTGATAACTTTATTTAGATCACTATCCTTAGGAAAGTTGACATTATAATGTTGGCACCTCATTTACATTTTTGGTATTGTGTAGAAAATCTATCTCCATTGACTCCCTCATGCGTTAGCAGGTAATTGACATCTGCTGTTTGATTGTTTAAATTTCATATTGAGCAGTTTTTTTAACTGCTTCATATGTTGTATAATATTTTTTTCCAACTAATCAGTATTTACGCAAACACAAACCATTCGATATCCAATATTTCTTCCTCAATTGCTAGAGACTGTCTTCATTCTCATCCCACACAAGGTAATCTTTTCAATAAGCTACCATTTTCTACAACACACATTATTTTAATTTTGTGAAATAAAATGGAAAATTTATATTGGTTACCGTTAAGTTTTTATTTTATTTTATTTTTTCTTAGAAAGCAAAAATGCTAGATCAAGGCGGAAAGGTATCATGTTCCAAAAGAAGACTTCTAAGCAATATGTCAAGATAAACAATATACCAAAGATGCTTGACTTGACAGGTAATTCGTCTTTGATTGATTTTACTACAACCATGAATTATAAGAGGATAATATATGTAATGTATTAACTATTTTTTCACTTACCATTATTTTGACTATATTATTTATTCCGCATTGGACTTTTTCATATAGGGATTGATGTGAACAGTGAGAATTCAGTGCTTTCAACCGTTACTGCGTTCAGTGATGAAAACTATATATCACGGTATCATTATACCTGTGAATACTTTTTTGGGAACACTATGTTGTAATTAAATATTTTTACGTGCACCTTCTTCGTTGACGTCATATAAATTCATTAAAGAGCATGTAATGCTATTAAGAAATATTGATCAGTCGAGAGGTTTATGCAATGGCACGAGATTGCTTATTACAAAATTAGGGAATCATGTTGTTGAGGCAATTGTACTTACAGGAAGCAATATAGGGGAAACTGTGTTAATCCCTAGAATGACGATGAGCCCATCGAGTCATACATTTCCTGTAAATTTCCAAAGAAGACAATTCCCCCTGATTGTATCGTTTGCCATGACTATCAACAAGAGTCAAGGACAATCACTTTCACATGTTGCAATTTATCTCCCTAAGCCTGTCTTCACTCATGGGAAATTATATGTGGCACTGTCTAGAGTAAAGAGTAAGCATGGATTGAAGATATTGATACTTGATGAAAATGGCTGCGTTACGAATAGTACCCTTAATATAGTTTACAAGGAAGTATTTCAAAGACTGCTATAGTATATTGGGTTCTTTCTTCAAAGATATAACTTCGTTGTATGGTACATGTAAAGACAAAAAAAATGACTGTTTATTCGCATCTCTTTTCCTTATCTATCTTCAAAGATATGACCTTTATTATCCTATTTTCTTTCCTATTTTTAATGTAACAATGAATGACTGTTTTGTTATTTAAAAAAATGACTGTTTGGGACCTTTGAAATACTGACAAAATGAGTTCGGCCCGGAGGGCCGACCCACCATGCCAAACAAACCAAATTTTTTTTCCGTGCATCGGCACGAGTTATTCAGTAGTATATATATAAAGGAAACCCATTTATTGGAAAGTTTTGCCATGTGTCACTCCCTGGTGAATTCTGAGTTTTCCTTTCACATTACGTGGCACCTGCAAACTTTCCTTTTTGGGTAAATTGAAAAAAGATTTTTCTTTTAAAAATCAAAAAATCAATTTTAATTTCTAATATTTAAAACAAATGTGGTGGCAGACAAAGCATTTAATGCGCCACTTACCTTCATATTGGAATTGGTCATCTCATTTAATGAGTCAGCTGAATTAAAATTTTGAATTTTGAAATAGAATCACTAACCTGTTTTAATGACTCGGCTATTTTTACAATAGAATTATTAAATATTTTAAATATTTTAAAATCCGAAAAAAACGGAAAATTAATTTTTTATTCAATTAAGTTGTGGTGTAAAATTTTGAATTTTCAAATGGAATGACTCACCTATTTTAATGACTCAGCTGTTTTTACATTAGAATTATTAAATATTTTAAAATGCAAAAAAAAACGGAAAATTAATTTTTTATTCAATTAATTTTTTCGATTTTTCTTTTAAAATTCGAAAATCAATTTTAATTTCTAATAATTTAAAACAAATGTGGTGGCAGACAAAGCATTTAATGTGCTACTAACCTTCACATTGGAATTGGTCATCTGATTTAATGAGTTAGCTGATTTAAAATTTTGAATTTTGAAATAGAATCACTCACCTGTTTTAATGGCTCAGCTATTTTTACATTGGATTTATTAAATTTTTTAAAATACGAAAAAAAATGGAAAATTAATTTTTTATTCAATTAAGTTGTGGTGTAAAATTTTGAATTTTGAAATGAAATGACTCACCTGTTTTAATGACTCAGCTGTTTTTACATTGGAATTATTAAATATTTTAAATATTTTAAAATGCAAAATAATGGAAAATTAATTTTTTATTCAATTAATTTTTTCGATTTTTCTTTTAAAATTAGAAAATCAATTTTAATTTCTAATAATTTAAAACAAATGTGGTGGTAGACAAAGCATTTAATGTGCCACTAACCTTCACATTGGAATTGGTCATCTGATTTAATGAGTCAGCTGATTTAAAATTTTGAATTTTGAAATAGAATCACTCACCTGTTTTAATGGCTCAGCTATTTTTACATTGGAATTATTAAATATTTTAAATATTTTAAAATACGAAAAAAAAATGGAAAATTAATTTTTTTTATTCAATTAAGTTGTGGTGTAAAAGTTTGAATTTTGAAATGAAATGACTCACCTGTTTTAATGACTCAGTTGTTTTTACATTGGAATTATTAAATATTTTAAAATGCAAAAAAATGGAAAATTAATTTTTTATTCAATTAATTTTTTCGATTTTTCTTTTAAAAATCGAAAATCAATTTAATTTCTAATAATTTAAAACAAATGTGGTGGCAGACAAAGCATTTAATGTGCCACTAACCTTCACATTGGAATTGGTCATCTGATTTAATGAGTCAACTGATTTAAAATTTTGAATTTTGAAATAGAATCACTCACCTGTTTTAACGGCTCAGCTATTTTTATATTGGAATTATTAAATATTTTAAATATTTTAAAATACGAAAAAAATGGAAAATTAATTTTTTATTCAATTAAGTTGTGGTGTAAAATTTTGAATTTTGAAATGGAATGACTCACCTATTTTAATGATGCAGCTATTTTTACATTGGAATTATTAAATATTTTAAAATACAAAAAAAACGGAAAATTAATTTTTTATTCAATTAATTTTTTCGATTTTTCTTTTAAAATTCGAAAATGAATTTTAATTTCTAATAATTTAAAACAAATGTGGTTGCAGACAAAGCATTTAATGTGCCACTAACCTTCACATTGGAATTGGTCATCTGATTTAAAGAGTCAGCTGATTTAAAATTTTGAATTTTAAAATGGAATGACTCACCTGTTCTAATGACTCAGCTGTTTTTACATTGGAATTATTAAATATTTTAAATGTTTTAAATGTTTTAAAATACGAAAAAAAAAACATAAAATTAATTTTTTATTCAATTAAGTTATGGTGGCAGACACCTCATTCAATGACCCACTGACCCACTTCTACAATGGAATTGATCAGCTCTTTTAAAATTCAAATCAGCTCTTTTAAAATTCAAATATGCTGATTTCTACATTGGAATGATCAGCTCTTTTAAAATTCAAATTATGTTTTGATTTCAAAATTTGGATTTCAATTTTGAATTTGAAATTGTGATGGTGGGAAAAAAATGAATTGAATAATAATTTGTGGCAGATAGCAGCTCATTTAATCTCTGACTGCCTTTCTTTCTTTGCTTGCGTCTATAAGAAGGAAAGTTGGAATGGAATATTGTTCTGTCTATTTCTTTTTATCTCTCCTATTGCGGCCAGGGTTTTTCCTTTCCCTCTTCTTCACTCCTTTACTTACCCTTCATCGTTTTCGTTCTCTTTGTTAGCGTGAATTTGTGTGTGTTTTTTTGACACGATGGAGTAGTTGTGGAGTTAAGGTTTTTTGTGTGTGTCTGTTAAGAAGAGGAACGAGTGGTTTGGTTGAGGTTTTGTGTCGGTGGTTGTGTTTGGAGATGGCGACGATGAACCCTTTTGATTCGTTGGGCGATGATGTTGAGGATTCGCAGTTCGTTCTTCCCTCAGGTATTCCATTCTTGCCGACTGTTTCTTTTAGAGGAATAGCTTCTTTCTTTTCTTCTTTTAGTGCTGATTATTTTTTTAATGTTTTAAGTTTTTCGTCTCTGTTGTGATTTCGTCTCTGGTGTGATTTCGTCTTTCAAACAATTCAACAGGTTCTCTTGCATTTCTATTCTGCTTGATGTTTCATCTATATGCCTTGTGCTTTCATTGTTTCTTATGGTTTTGAGTGTGTACGATGTATGTAGAGATTAAAATTGTAAGTCTGAATTTCTCATCAGTTGTTGACTTTTCATTGAACTTGATACTAATTCACTTCCATTTCCATAGTTCTGACTTACAATATAAAATTTTTATTTACAGGCCTATATGAGGGTGGATGTGCTGCCATTATTGAGTCGGGGACATCTTTGATGGCTGGTCCAACTGTATGATCTCAAACATTATACTTCTGGTGTGCTTTTTTTGGTTCCCTTTTCATTTGGTGTCTTTTTTAATCTTTTGGCTCTTCTTGGACTTATTCTCTATATCATATTATATCTTTTTTTATTGTTTATGTTAGTAGGGGATATCTTTTGAAGGAAGAAAGAATTACATGTAATATATAATCTCATTATATTTCTCATTTATGTTGTTTACAATTTTATAGGTGGCGGGCACAAGAGGAAGTATCAAAGATGGTATGAAAGGAGTTCATTCTCAACCTGCACATAATGGCATTAAAGGTATACTTACAAGTGTCTATAAGGAAGGGGGAGTTCGTGGACTTTATAGGGGTGTAGGTATGTATCACACAGGATCTACCATTACAATCTTTATTCATGGCAATCATAATAGGTTCCTGGTGGAGAATTTTGTTGGTATTTTTGCTTGTGGGAAAATGTTTTCTCATAGCATGTCTCGGTTATCATCTCTTGCACTTACCACCTTATCCAATCTTTTCAGTACATTCATTGAAAACCTCATTTTTTTCTTTTCCTTAGGACCAACCCTTACTGGAATTCTTCCATATGCTGGTTTAAAGTTCTACATGTATGAGAAATTGAAGATGCATGTTCCTGAAGAACACCAAAAGTCCATTCTGATGCGCCTTTCTTGTGGAGCACTAGCTGGATTGTTTGGGCAGACTTTAACATACCCTTTAGATGTTGTTAAGAGACATATGCAGGTACTTAAGCCCAACTTTATGTCTGCTTTCCGTTGTCTAGCTAAATTAGCTCTTTAATTTTTTCTGGGTATAGTATTTGATGTGAAAGACCTTTTAGGTAGTTTTCCAGTTTTACAACCCCCATTTCGTCTACATGGACTCCTATGTAGCATTAGCATGCATCCCTTCTGTTATTTACTTTACCTTCTAGAAGCATATCAAATTACTGCCAAAAACACTCTTTCTAGGTTGTGTTGACTGTTGATAAAATGATATTGTCTTTACTCTTTTTCACTAAATTTTGGGTTATGTCAATCACCATGTTTCTATATGACTCAGTGCTCTGTTGTCTTTAGTTTTCATGAAATTGACTTGAATAAATTGGATGTTGAATTTAATGTGGTATCATATTGCTACATGGGAGTTGATATTTTATAAATATGGGAAGTCAAATGGATAACAAAAAAAAGGGTTCGTTGTTGTCATCTTTGTTGGGGTATTTTTTATTTTATTTTTCCTGCAAATGATGTCAAAAACTAAAAACCATTTCATTTGTTGACGCAGGTTCAAATTACTGATTTTTTTTTATTTTGTTACATCTTTTTAAATAGGTTTGATACAGAAGCGTATACAAACTCGCAGTGAAGGGAGCAATTCTGACCGAAGTAGCATATTTTGTGTTTCAGAAACATATTTTTCTAGAAATTTGTTGTATTTTATAATTCGATATTGCAGTTTCTTTTTGTTTATGTTACATTTTGTTTAGCTTCTTATCACACTGCATTTTTTAATAACAAATAACCAGAGAAATACTAATTTTCAAGGGCTATAGTAGTACTAAGGATTGTAAATGAAAGTGTAAAAAATACATTAACGAATTTCACATTAATTTAAAGTGTATATTATGAAATTTCTTTTTTTTTTCTATGATGTTATATCTGTCCATTTTTCATGGGTAATTGTTAGCCCTATTAATGTTGCATAAAAAAACAAAAACATTAAAAATATTGTAAAATAACAAAATCATTTATATTGTAAAAACCTAGACGCAACTATAAAAACTTTTGATTGTAGTAAATGAAAGTTCATCTCTGGGATAAAATATAAAAACCTAGACGCAACTATAAAAACTTTTTTGTGTGGATAAATATAAAAACCTTTTACGTGATGATAGTTAGAGGTGGAAAACTGAGCTCAGCCCTGAGGGTCGGCCTGCCAATATATTTTTATAATTAAATTGAAATTTTATCCTTCTTCTTTTATAATTAAATTACTAAATCTGATTTCAATTTTTGTAAATACAAATTTGTGAAATTCCAAAGACTAACGACACTAATCCTTGCAAAAAAATTATTTATATAAAATGCTGACAGTTAGAGGTGGAAAACTAGGCTCGACCCGGAAGGCCGGCCCGTCAATATATTTTTATAATTCAATTGAAATTTTATCCTTCGTCTTTTGTAATTAAATTACTAAATCTGATTTCAATTTTTGTAAATATAAATTTGTGAAATTTCAAAGACTAACGACACTAATCCTTGCAAAAAAATAATTATTTATTATTATTTTGTAAATCTGATTGTAGTAAATGAAAGTTCATCTCTGAGATAAAATATAAAAACCTAGACGCAACTATAAAAACTTTTTTGTGTGGATAAATATAAAAACCTTTTACATGCTGATAGTTAGAGGTGACAAACTGGACTCGGCCAGGAGGCCGTCCCACCAACACATTTTTATAATTAAATTAAAATTTCATCCTTCTTCTTTTATAATTAAATTCCCAAATCCTCACCCAAAAAAAAAAAAATTCCCAAATCTGATTTTAATTTTTGTAAATATAAATTTGTAAAATTCCAAATACTAACGACACAAATCCTTGCAAAGTTCTGTGTTAATGCTGTAATTTTTTTCACCTGAAATATAGAACAAAATAGCAACACAGTTTTTTTGTAAATATGAGGTTTGTAGTGTGATTAACCAACTAAGGCGGGCGATAAAATTTTTGATCTTTTTTCCTCGTGCATCGCACGGGTAATATACTAGTATATATATAAAGGAGGGTTCAATGTTGGAAACTTCGCTGATGTGTCACTCACTCCCTGCTTAATTCTGAAAATTGTGTTCACAATGTTGGAAACTTCGCTGATGTGTCACTCCCTGCTTAATTCTGAAAATTGTGTTTCTTGTCTTCAACGTCTTCGATGCCTGTGAATAGTTTTTTGTCTTGCTGCTGAAAAAGAATTTGTAATCGATGGATAAATTTCTTTTTTTTTGGAGTTACCCAACCCTAATTACCTCTTTGAGGCGAGTTTGCTCCCTCCGGTATCCCCACGAGCTTCGACTCTTTGAGCCGGCTATGGGACTAATCCGGAGTGCGGGGGATCAGTGATGACTAAAGGTTCAGCCCCCTCCCCAAGAATGCATTCAGCAGGAATCGAACACATGTCCAACCCCACTAACTCAGCGCCAAGTTACCAACTGAGCTGCACCCATTGGGTGATGGATAAATTTCTAATAGCATAACATATTAATTTCATATTTTTTTTTACAGAGAGTTTCTTCATTGTGTTGTGTTTGGGGCTCTTATTTTCTGTACCCAGAAAATTATTATTATTTCAACTTCTCATATTGTAATTGTCTTGATTCATAATATCAAATTCAAATTTCTAAATTATTTTCAGCTTTGTATTCACACCAACAGGAATTTGAAATGTTTCCTATTATAATAACTTTTCAAATTTTTATTTTAACTTTAAATTTAAAAACTCAATTAAGATCTCAGTAACTCTTGCATTGGTATTTGCCAGGCCTATTAAAATCCCACTAACTTTTAAAATTCGAAATTTAAACTTAATATAAGAGTAAAAAAAGTTCAGCATTAATTGGTGGCAAACATCTATATTAATACCCCCACTACTGCTTACCAAAAAAAAAATACCCACACTACTTTTTCAAAATTCAAATTTTAAACATAATATAGGTAGAAAAAGATTTCAACATTAATTAGTGGCAGAGAATTGTACTAATATCTCATTATTTTCTACATAGAAATGAGAATAATAATATTTATTGAAAAGTGTATATTATTTTAATACAAAAAATATGTTCATAAAACCTCCTTTAGTTCGTTGAAAAGTTCATTAATGTATGTCGATGGAATAAAATTAAAACAAATACCAAATCCCTAAATTTTCAACATTTGAATTTATTGATGATTTTAATGGTCAGATAACGTATGCTACAATTAAAGTTTACAATCAAATACAAGTGAATGCATTAGTATCTATTATCAATGGAGTTATATAATTGTGACACTCGGTAAAAAAATAATACAAAACGATAAGAAATTTCCATACAAGTATTTTTTTAAGAAAAATATTTAACGTAAACGTTTTAAATTTATATGTATAACCAATTCAGAAAAGTATAAAATTATAAATTAAACGAAAAAATTAATTTTTTAAAGAATATTTATAATTAATTCCAAAGAATTTAAAATTTAAATTTTAATAAAATAAAAATGACATCTATCATTTTTTTAAAAATAAATTATAAAAATTTAATCACTACAAAAATTAATTTAATATATAAGAAATAAATTAAGCTTTTATTCTTTTGATGTAAGAGTGTAATTAACACAATTTTCTATGTCGTGAAGGAATAACTAGAAGTTATTACTTGGAGAATATGCACGGTTTTTTATACATGTTTTCCACTACTTTTTGTGAAGGAATTTAAGTTTATTAATAATATTTATTATTATGTCTATTGAGTGAGAAAAAATTTATTATTTAAAATTCAAACTTTTAAATTTAAATTTTGAATTTGATAGGTGAAAAAATAGTTTAGCATTTAATGTTTCTGCAGTGTAAAAAGATATCTATATAATAAATTTAAATTTAATATAAAATTATAGATTAAACAATAAAATATTTAAAATTATAAAAATACATTTATAGTCGATAATTTTTTTTTAAAATTTCAAATTTAAAAGAAAAAAAATAAGAAATTGCATAATTTATGCTATACAAAAAATAAATTTAAATTTTAACATAAAAATTTTAAATATACATGTATAACCAATTAAAAAATATATAAAAATCATAAATTAAAATAGAAAAAAATTATATAAAAAATATGTATAATTAATATAAAAAGTTGTAAATTTTAAATTTAAATAAAAAACGACATCTGTCATTCTGTAATTTTTTTTTTTAATTTAAGAGCTATAAAAATGAAAAATTTATTTAGTACATAAGAAAGAAATTAAACTTTCATTTTTGTATTGCAAGAGTGTAATTAACACAAATACTTGCAAAAAATAATTATTTATATAAAATGTTGACAACTAGAGGTGAAAAACTGGGCTCGGCCCGGGAGCCGGCCCGCCAATATGTTTTTATAATTCAATTGAAATTTTATCTTTCTTCTTTTATAATTAAATTACTAAATCTGATCTCAATTTTTATAAATACAAATTTGTGAAATTCCAAAGACTAACGACACTAATCCTTGCAAAAAAAAAGTATTTGTAAAAAATGTTGACAGTTAGAGGTGGAAAGCTGGGCTCGGCCCGGAGGGCTGGCCCGCTAATATATTTTTATAATGCAATTGAAATTTTATCCTTCTTCTTTTATAATTAAATTACTAAATCTGATTTCAATTTTTGTAAATATAAATTTGTGAAATTCCAAGGACTAACGACACAAATCTTTGCAAAAATAATAATTATTTATTGTTATTTTATAAATCTGATTGTAGTAAATGAAAGTTTATTTCTGAGATAAAATATAAAAAACTAGACGCAACTATAAAAATCTTTTTTTGTGGATAAGTATAAAAACCTTTTACATGCTGATAGTTAGATGTGGCAAACTGGACTCGGCCCGGAAAGCCGACCCACAAACACATGTTTATAATGAAATTAAAATTTCATCCTTCTTCTTTTATAATTAAATTCCTAAATCTGATTTTAATTTTGGTAAATACAAATTTGTAAAATTTCAAATACTAACGACACAAATCCTTACAAATAATAATTATAGTTAGCAATGATTTGTACGCATTTTTCTTTTTATATCTCTTTCTCATGTTAACATGGTGTATTATAACGTATTATGGTGTATTATGATGTAGTTGTATGCAAAATTAATTATCCATCTGAATAGCAGATTTCTGTTTGTGGTTGATATTTGCAAAGTTTTGTGT